AAAAGGGAGGGCGCACAGGTTCCCGCCACGAACGACAGCTCACCCCTAACCTTATCATTCTGCTCTATCCTGGCTTGGTTTGTTGGTCCACTTATGACAAGCTCCAAGCAAAACTAGTACATTCTAATTGCAATAGACTATATCACAAAATGGGCTGAAGCTCAACTAATAAAGACTGCTACAACAAAGAACACAACAAAGTTCATTTACAAAAACATCATCATAAATCTTGAGAACTTGTCACTGATCAAGGAACACATTTCATCAATGAAACCATCAAGATTTTGACTCAAGAATTCACTATCCAACACAAGGCTTCAACACCGTACTATCCTCAAGGCAACAGTCAAGTAGCATTCAAAAACATCTTCATGAAAATCGTGAAAATAAATCAGAAAGACTGGGACGATCACATTTACGATGCTTTGTAGACATATCAAACTGCATATAAGGTTTTAATAAATTTGACACCATTCAAGCTCACCTACAGCCTTGAAGGTTTGACATCACTTGAGTATAACGTTCCATCACTATGAATGGCAATATAATACAAAATCAACCAAGAAAAATCAATCAAAAAAATGATTAACCATGCTAGAACAACTTATTGCTAGCTGAGATCCTTTGACTATCTCATTTTGAAGTTTTGGAATGCTCAAGGAGTCTTTTCTAACTCAGCAAAGATGTTGCTTCATATGATGGCTAAGGCTAACTATTATTAAACAGTTCTATTGATAGAGTTATGCAATCTCATGTGTGAGGCACTACTTTGATGATGTCCTACGACTAAGGAGGAACATGAGATGCATGTGAGGCAAATGCTGCTGCTATTGAGGGAGAATAAGCTGTATTCTAAACTGTCAAAGAGTGAGTTCTTCTTGGAGGAGATCACCTATCTCGGACATGTGGTGCCATGAGATGGTGTGCAGAAAGATCCTCAAAAGACTCAGATAGTCGTTGACAGTGGATTCTGTAAGAGTGTCTGTTGATCGAGGACGTGTGTTCTGGTAGAGACGCATTTATTTTTGCCTGGAATGAAGTCAAGTGTTGATAAGTATGTGCATAGTTGTTAGACCAGCCAGGCAGTCACAATGGATTGTCAGAAGCATGAAGGTCTCTACCATAGTTAACCTCAGCAGAAGTGGGATAGCATTTTCTATGAGTTTCATAGTAGGCACTTTAAGGCAATGATGCTATCTGGGTTGTTGTGGATTATGTGATGCTGTTGGCTCACTTCTTCCTTGTGAATATGAATGCTAAGGCTTTTGACCTTGCTCAGCTGTATTTCTCTATGGGCTGCCTAAGGATGTTGTAAGTGATTGGGATTCCATGTTCACTTTGGAGTTTTGGCAGACGGTGTTCCAGAAGCTTGAGACAAAGCTGAGCATGAGCATCCACAGTCAGATGGACAAACAAAACGAGTTAATTAGGTGCTGGAAGACATGCTGAGATCGTTTGTTGGTCATTTGAAGAGGCAAGGTATTTGGGAGAAGTACCTGCCTTTGTTAGAGTTTGCCCATAACTGTGCCCTCCATTTGGCTATTGAGATGGCTCTGTTTATGGCAATGTATGGCTTTCAACCTTGGTCCCCTGTTGGTATGAACTTGGCTTCTCTTAAGGAGCACCAGGCAAAGGAGTTGGCTGATGAGCATTGTCAGCACAAGTATTTTCAGGTTGGAGACAAGGTTTTCCTTCAGTTGTCTGAAGCTCAGTGAGCTCTTCAAGGTGGAGGTAGTTCTAAGATGTCGCCACAGTACTGTGGGCCTTGGATTATTCTCAAACGAGTTGGAGACCTTGCCTATCAACTAGACTTGCCTAGTGGTGTGAAGATTCATCCTGTCTTCTATGTAGGAAGTTGAAGGCATGTTTGCATTCTGGTAATATCTTGGACCAGTCTGCAATCAAGATTCCAGAGATAGATGTTTGAAGGTTGGCCCTACTTGTGTGTTATAGCAACGGCTAGCATGCACACGTCGTAAGACTTGGAGAGAGTTACTTGTTCAGTGGAATGGTTATTCTCCATATGATGCTACATGGGAAGCTGAGGATGATGTTGTTTCCTAATTTTGAATATGACTTGGATGACATTCCAGAGGAAGAGGAGAAGTAGTCGCTTGCTCCTATCCTTTCTTTCTTTCTGACCCCATTGAGGGCTGGAGGTGTTGTGTCACGTGAGACAGTTAGTGGTTTTGTTAGCGGGATGCTTTGCTAGCTTCTCTCTCCTCAGCTACTGTTCATCATAGTTGGAGCAGAGGGAAAAATGTCACCGTATTTCGTGATGAACCAGCTGATTCTGGACCTAGGTCTCTGATCAAAGAGCCAAATACCAACTGCAAATTTGCATGTGAAGAGGTGTTCAAGCATCTCCACGGGGTTTTCATTGCATAGAATACACAGAGTTTTGTGAACTGTGAGCCAATCACCAACAGGGATGCTATCCTGCACAAGAAGCCAGCTTACCTTAGCTTCCACCAGTGTCTTCCACATGTTCACAATGTACTTCCGATTCTTCAACTTCCGCATAAGCCTGGTGTCAATTTTATCCATCAAAAGCTCTCTGCCATGCTTAGACCTGTATGAGCCGGATCCTACATAAGATCAGATTTAGGTACTCCCCAAACTAGTGTATTGCAGAGCATTCTCCCAGTTGAACTTTAGGATCCAGTTCAGGGTATTTCCCTCTCTGATGTATTGTCCTGATCCTTTTACCGAAGGCCATCCTGGGAATTGGGACCTCCTCGGGAACTATACATGGAAACAGTGCACCACTGTTATGGGGATACAAAACAATACCTTGAGGTGATGGGGTTGTTTCCATAACAAAGATGATTTGAGTCTCAGCACCATCAAGCATTATCCAATCACGAACCTCGATAACTTCAGTTTGTAAAGCAAGATGAAGACGATCACAAGCGCCTTAAGCTTTGATGTGGAGTTTTCATCCTGGGTTGTCATGAGGCCATCCGATGAGCAGGGTTTGCTCCAAGCGGACGTTAAACAAATACCTGACTTTACCTTTTTCATTGTATCATACCTTGTCCACTGCTGAGGAAGAAAAACAAGATCCCAACATGTAAGTGATGGCTTGCTAGCTCTTTGTAGATCCAATAAGTCTTTGATTGAAGCTCCCACATTTCTATGCCACCTAGGCCAAAGACCTCTACCCAAGCCTGGAGCTGAACAGTCACCTATATACTGTTGATTACTGTTCTTATGCGCTACGTTGAAGAACAAGCGATCAGCTAATGCCTCTGTCAGATGGTCTGGTTCTTTCTGACTTAACCTGGGTAGGAATGTGACTTCCATATCTTCAACATCTCTTTTGCTATTCCATCCTGGACCTTCTTTGTGTTGAGAGGAGCAGTGCCAATCGATTCCTTGTTTCTAGTTACCACCCTGTCTAGGCAAGATCTTCAGTTTCGTGGATATAAACCTGACACAATCACTTTGAAGAGAAGAGCTTTGGATTGAATTCCTGGGTGTGGCACATTCCGAATAACTGAATTCCACTCTACTTTTGCCCGGACTTTGCACCCGCTGGAGTTTCTAAAGTTTCTACATATGTCGTTGGAGATCAAGTGTTGGTGAGTTATCGGGTGTTGCGGATCCAAGGCTTTTGCTGCATAGGTCCTTATCACATCGTCCAACAAGTTGGTCCACAAATCTATGTGGGGCACTCAATGCACAACGTCAAGAGAAGATCCATGTGAAGCAGTTAGCTCGATATTGTGTGTGAACGGATTGATGTAAGGATTCTACCATATATTCTATGGTAGATATAGATAAACTCAACAAGATTGTATTTATGGAGCCCACAAGAGTAGGAGTGAGGTGTTATCATATTATGAATCCCACAAGATCAAGAGTGAGAGGTGTTAATCACATTTTTTATATGCTCCATATGATCCTGAGGTTTAGGGATATGAGGGGGGGGGAGGAAGGGAAAAAAGGACGTAATTAGAGTGAAAATGCGAGTTATTGTGAAATTAGAGTAAAAATGTGACGAGCTAACTCGCGCAGCTTAAAAGAGGGAAGTAGGAATGCTCGGATGGAGTTCCACCAGGTAGAAAAGACAAGTCATACCTCAAGCCTCGGATTGCTCCCAACCCCCTGCCTCCACCCGGTTGCCTACTTTAACCAAGCCCCGAACCACCCAGCAGTCTTGGCGCACAGGGATGACATCAGCCCTAACCTCTTGCTCCACTGCTCCTACTTCTGAGCTTCTCCCCCCCTTAAGAAAAAAGGTCTGTTGCTCTCTTGGAGTTCAAGAGGCATCCTTTTCACCATCTCCTCTGTTTTTGCTAGCTAGTTAGCTCTTACAAGAAGGAGCAAAAGCCAAGTTCAGCTCCATGCTCAGCTCTATTATCTCCTCTTTAAGACACCTCACCTCTTTG